CTGACAAATCATCTCCGTTCAGAATCGTTTTTCGTATACAATGATACCTATCATTATTCATTGCATTCAAATTTAATCCCATCCATTACAGTAACCTACGACTATACAGCAGAGCGATATCCACGCGACTTACCCGCTTTTTTTTTTGTTATTTATTATTATTATTATCAGTAGCAGGTACATTATATTTAGTAATTAGTATTATTATATCGTAAATTAATTAGAGTTGATTGTTTTATTACACATATTAATTATAAATTAATTGATTAACATACTTAATTCCTACTTTGTAAGACTGCAGAAAATCGTTCCTTCTTTTTTGTTATAATTTATTATGACTTTGCTTAATGATACAATCTGCACAAACGTCTAGCGCAGTTGTTAGGACATTTTCGTTTCCATTTTGCATGAAATATACAGTCTTAGCTAATTTATGTACTTTTCTGCTTGTATTATTGTTGTAATTTTAAAGGRTTGAACGTCGTCGTTGTCATAACTTTCTTCATTTTGCAGACTTCTTTCAGCAGTTGCGTTAAGAATACTATAGTAATTCTCATTTTCATTAAAGCACTGTACAGCATCATCAATTATTGTTAAAAATAACTCYTCATTTTCTATGCATTTCGCTATGTCATTTTCAATAGAAACAAAAGGAGAAATAGGTAAATCAATCAATGGTCTGAAATCGTAATGTGCAAAACAATGCTAAATCGTAACAGACGACACTATAGTTGTCTCCAGCTGTCAGAGACAAATTGTATTGCTAGTAGAATGTTTAATTTAGAACTGATACCTATAGCACTCGTAGATTGATTCACTAAATTTTCTTCAATACCCTTCAAAATGTATATCTGTACACTGCAATGAGTTTTTAAATGCTTAATGATCTACATATCGAGTGGTCGAATGAAAGAAGTAGTATTTGAAGGCAGAAACTTAAGTGTGATATTTTTAAATCCATTAAGTAGATATGTGGTGCAGCATTACCAACAATTAATACGATTTGCCTTGATTGTTTTTCAAGATTTTTTTCCCAGTTTTWCAATCATGATGTAGATATTCCTGATGTCATCCATACATTTTTATTTACTAAATAAGAAACAGGTACCTAAGTATGTTATTTTTAAATGTTTGAAACATCTTAGCTTTGCGGCATTCACGATTATTAAGAGCTTTTTTCTATCTGTGCCTGCCATACTACAACAACATAAAACTGTTATACGATCCATAGCTTTTTGGATCCTTTCAAGTGTTTCACGTTTATAGCACAACGAATCATCCGGAGTCGCTTGGTCAGTTTCGTTGGTATCATAAAAATACTTTTAAAAATTTTTTTTAAGAATTTCCGGTAATTAAGCTAGAGACAGACCATTCATCAGCTCCGTCTCCGTTTTTATCAGCATTTGATTTTCTCGCATGAAATCGCTTGAATTTAATATTATTCCRGTCCTTTTAACGACTTTAAAACTTAAAAAAAAAATTATAGTTGGASTTTTGAAACTTAAGTAGACATATACGGTTTAAAATTAAAAATTGTTAACTAATATATGAACTACTGAACTAGTGATTACATCATGATTTAAGATTACGGTAGTTCAAAAAATATAATGTTATAGTTCATAAAATATTTTATTGATTCTGTTCAGTTTGGCCAGTCTTGGTAATATAACGAAAAGTTCTATAAGAAAGTAAAATATAGTAATGGAAAGCCAGATATGGCCAATATGGGTGTAGTCGCAAGGTCTTTACGATTTTGTTTAATACTAAAATACTTGAGCAGTCATTCCTATCGTATATTTTACTGTAAGTATACCTAATATACTTATTAGTTACCTAATATTGTATTTGTTTTTGTATAGATACACGCATATTTAAATAGTTATGATATAATTATAACTATAAAAAACCAACGGTATAGTATGWAGGTGTCGAGTGTACAATATCAATAAAAATTATTGAGTAACTTACTGTAATTATAGTTTGATGTTTGAAATAATTTCAAATTTCAAAAAGCCAAAATATTTTAAAAATAATATCKGGTCTATAAAATTCTAATATATAAGTATTTGGTACACATTTCAGGTCTTTAAAATTATTTATTTTTGAAAACTAGTGTTGCTAAAATATTTCGTTTTTTCTGATTATATTTTGAAAAGTACTGGGAATTTTTTATTTAGGTATCACTGTATAGCTGTGTACTGTTTAGGTATCTCGTRGCTTATACTTGAGCAACTATCATTGGTTTTTCAAAAACTCTAAACTTTATACTTTCAAAAAAATATATTTCTTGTAAAATAAACTAATWAGTCGAATTAAAATATTATACATATAWGTCATTTAAAATCAATAACACTATTTAACCCTATTATCTGTATGATGTACCTACTCAYTGCAGGTTTGTAAAAAAAATCAATATAATATACTTAAAGGTTTTCATTAAATCTTTTTTATTATACACATTTAACGTTGTTAGTTGTTGGTTATAATAATACGGATATCAATGACATKTCTAAATGCCGTGACTATGACTTCARTACATGCGTTTGTTATTTCAAATAATAGCCTATTTTCTACACACTACACTATATTTTTGTAAGCATAACAAATTTTCGAACATATTATGTAATTAACAAAATAGTCATGGTATTTATAAAAATTACATAAATCGTTTTTATTATAATATTATTGATTCGTGTGTTGGACATTTCTTACATATAATGTATAGGTACTGTAATATTTTTATGTTTCCTTAATTATTTGAAATTTAAAAAACTTCCAAAGGAATAAATATGCACGATATGTATTCACTATACATCTAATATTAAAATATGAAGCATTGTTCACAGGTGGAGACATATTGAACAACGATGGAAGCGGGTCCATAAGCATATATGGTGACACGTTTCCCGACGAAAACCTAAAAGTGAATGGCACAAAGCCGGGATTTGTGGGAATGGCAAATTCTGGTCAGTGTTTCAAAAATATTATATAATAATTAATGATACAAAATATGCATAGAAACTTTAATTATTTGGTGAGAGGGATTAGGGACGTACTCACGAAATAATCTAAAGTAATGTCCACTACATTTTCATGTTACTTTCGTAATTTTCGTCACGTTACCACTTAAATCTACCGATAGGGACATGAAATATTATTCAGGATCGGCGTTACAATCAGATTTTAGCGCACTCGGTATTAGTTGACCAGTCCTTGTTCCTTACATCTCGTTCCATTAACTGATGGATAAATTAAATAATCATCCCCACGTCTGTTATCAAATCACGGTCAGCACAAATTGAAGTAGATTAACCGTTTATTCTTTTGTACAGGTCCAGACACAAACGGATGTCAGTTTTTCATAACGACCAGATCCACACCGAGCCTAAACGGCGAGCACGTAATGTTTGGTATCGTAGTTGAAGGACAGGAAGTCATACATGCCATCGAAAAACAGCTGACTGACCATCTTGGTAGGCCCACCAAAGAGATACGAATATCGAGATGCGGCTTGCTGAACAGACGGCCGCCATTCGTCGTCACCGACCATCCTCGCAAGTGAGACAGATTGGTCTGAATCCTAAAACAATAGCATAATATAGAGCTTATAGCCACAGAAGTTCCTCGTGTTTATGAGTACTTTGTTTTCTTGTACGTTATAATTAACAGTAATACAGCAATACAGGTAAACTTGATGGTTCAGTTGACTCAGCCTATAAAATATTTATATATGTTTCATCAGTGATAGGTATTAACAAAATTCAATTGGTATATTGTATATAATTAAACACAATTTTTCCACTGTAAAAGAGATGGTAAGGAAAATGTAATTCTTACAATTAGATTTTACTGAATTATGAATCAAATGACTCATCTTCTCATAAGACATCACATTGGTATTATAATTTGCAGTGTTGGCTAAGTTACATTTAAAAAGTAATTATGTTACTTAACTCGTTACTTGGAGATAAATTTAATTAAGTTAATTAATTCGTTACTCAAATGTAGTGAGATTAATTTACTTTTCTATTTGAAAAGTAACTTCGTTATTTTCTTGTTACAACAATTTTTTTATTTTTTATTTTGTTGCAATTATAACTCGGCCAGGTAATAATATAATTAGAAGTACCTACATTACCTATAGTAAAAAGTTATAGTTTGAAAATGTACGTTAATACATAAGTGATAAGTCCATAATAATAGTACCTACTACCTAGATGATTATTATATAGGGTAAGACGTAAATAAAATGTATAATTTGTCACTCACTCACAAAATAAACCAACCTATTAAATAAATAACTTAATTAAAACATTTTTTTTTTTACTATTTAGAATGAAATATTATTATTAATTTGTTTTTTTAACGAACTTAACACAATAAAGTATCTTCAAAATTTTTATCGCTCATACGCAATCATTTTTTAGAACAAATTTTTATCCTTTTTTCCGATTCATTTAAAATTGAAAAATACTTATTGATTTAAGCGCACTATTTGTTTTTTTCCCTGATCTACGTGACATTGACATACAAACTTTGGTTTCATCGGAATCAACTTTAGTGATAAGTTTAGTACCTATTAAAGAAACTTGACCTATTATCAAAATTAAAGTTAAGAATATTAGCTTTATTTTACATATTTATAACTAACATGAAAATTTAAATATTGTAAAAAAATYCAACTATTAATAACAGATCGTGAGGTATGTTTTAAGAAAAAAGGTAGGTATATAGGTAATGACCCGTTCCTGGTTTTTTGAACGGAAAAAAAAGGTATATAGGAAGTGAAAATAAAGTTTACATTTTAACGAGTACCTAATAGATAACACACAAATAACTAAAGTGCATAAGTTTTTATTATGTATAAATCAGTGTATATCTCTGACTATCGCATCGGTGATTACTTTATTAAGACATATTTTTCTTGGTCCTTTGAATGTCATGACTCATTAGTCATTATAAACGATTTATACAATTTTCTACTATAATTTTAATCATTGAAATTAGTAGTTTAGCTATTTAAAAATTCGATAAATTTATCAATATGATATTGTTAATTTAGTATTTATAAACATGAATCTGCATCGATCTATAAATCGATACTATTAAGTTTCCTGCGTAACTATGTAGCATACTAGCATTGACTATTAATACCTATTGCAGGTTGTTTAAATGATTTTTTTATTTACATTACAGTTCGACTGTTTGGAAATGGATAATCGCGTCTGCTCTACCGGTTTCGATGTCCACGGCTATTTTGTTACTATTCCAGTGGATGATTGCTCAAATCAACAAAGCGATCATCTAATGGGGCTTCTGTGCACAATACACGGCATACAAATACATAACGTATTCACGTGCATACGTATATCATTTAATATCAACAATCAACATAATATACAATCACAGTCTACTAAATATTGTTCATAGTTTCACACAAAAGTGGGGCGAAAAGTGAACGTTTTCCATTTTTCGTTTAAATTTTACTTATAATACAATTATGAATATTATTGTAATATGAACGATAATTTTCGACTGTATATACCCATACAAAAAACGTTCATGTGTAGAAGACAGCAATAACAAGCAAATTACATTTTTACATATACCATATATACGTATATATTATATATTTGTATGCGTATAGTTTGTGTTCCGTTCGTTTAAAATTCAAATATATTACCACGTAAGAAGTAATATTGTTTTCTGTAATTTATTTTCTTAATACATTTCCACATTATAAATATATTTTGTTTTTTCTTCTACAATTTACAACAAAGCTATAATAATGCGCATATATATACTATTTATTTATAAACAAAAGTTGCTAGTGCTTAAAATCTAGCTACACAAATATGSTGAAAAAATGCTGAATCCATCAATGTGTATTTAATTTACATTACAATATGGATCACATATAATTATGCAACACTCAGCAAAGTACATGTTTATTGAACTCCTATAATCTACCTATAAATCTGATGTCTATACGCATCACCATTTGCGTTTATCTTAAATTTATTGTTAAACAGTATGGAGATTAAATCAACTTTAATGTACCTATCCATATCTCATTGATTAATCAACACATTGACTTGATCGTTTTATACGTGTTTAGATAATATCTATATACCTAGATCATAGACCATAGTTATATGTAGGTAGTAGGTAAGCATTATGCTGGAAATTGTAATGATTTAATTAGTATAACATAATAATATACCAGTAAATAATAATTATAATATACCAGTTTAAAACCGAACATTTGTGTGTAGGTAATGGAATATGTTTTCACTAGGAGCTAGATAGGCAACCAAATGTCTAGGGTGGTGGACTTGGTCGGCCCGAGAAGAAAAATACCGGAGATATATACTATGTATATAAATAGCTGTATGGGGATACAGCGGGCCAACCCCGCTTATCCCTATCCAAAGTTGCTAGATCTGTAACGTCATAACAGGATAGGGATATTCGCATACACACCAGAGAGCTGGGGAAGGGGTATCTCCAAAMTGTTATTACTACTCTTATGTGTATATATTTATCTTTCTGTAAATAAACGATGCTGCATGGGGGCTAAGCAATGTGAAAACAGTACAGCCTCCATGTAGTGATTTAACATTAAAAAAAAAAGATAGGCAACCAAATCAACATTTATTTCAAGTATCTACGAATAACCATACTAGATTTCCTCATATTTTATTTAAAATTTAATAGGCATGCATTTAACAATTTATTTAATTTACTAATAACATAAGAATAATGTTTCTACTTATATATGTTTAAAATATAAATATATATTTTTTTTAGACTTTTTAAAGTTATTTATCAAATTCTATTTCATTGGATCAACACTTTTTCTAAACATACAAAATGTCATTATTTTTCCTGACTTATTAGCATTAAGTATTTGCATTTTAAATTTTGTTACCAATCTGATGATGTATAATATAATAAATAATCATAATATCAGGAAGAAATTATTTTTTMGCCGATATTGACAGAAAAGAGAAAAACCTGCAGAAGTATAATTGTAACGCTATCTGTCGGTCAAAAAGCGGCTGTAAAGAAGAACAATTAATATAGCTATTCAACATGAAGTCAATTCATTTCCAAGTTCAAAACGAATTTCCACTTGGATATGACTATATGAGCATTTAACTGTTTGAAACTGTACCATATGAGCAGTCTTGTAAAAAATACTTTTGAAAAAGTATTAAGATACTAATAATAGTATTAGATTTATTTTAAAAATACTATTATATTACACGTTCATACAAAACAATACTTTAATTTATAGTAAAATATTCGTGAAAAATAATTAAGCAAATAAATTTGTTGGTATTTAAATTTTGTTAAAAAACAGTTTTTAATAATAACCCAGAATCAAAATGTGGATTAAACAAAATGCGACAAAGAAATGCTAGCTTTAGATAGAGTTGTGCAGTGCGCTATAGAACTAGTTAACCGCAGAATTTAAGTGAGATTTTGGAAAAAGTCAACATAAATTTAATTGAGGACAGAGAATCAATTGTATATATAACTTAATATTTAATAATAATTATCTTTATTGAATTTAAAAATGTACGTACACTTTCAAAATGAGGAGTAGAATGATGTAAATTGTAGTTAATGTTTAAGGTGAAGCAACCATAATCAGTTATATGTTAAGTATGTGTATATATTAGCATTTTATTAAACATTAATAAACGATGGCAGCAGAGGAGTTAATTGTAATTATAAAAATAGTTAACTGTGTTCACACAGATCCTCCTCTGCTGTCGGTTTAAACGGAAAAAAACAAAAATTGTAGTTAATGCATACGGCTWTGATATATTGTTTTGGATTCACACTTATGTTATATTATAAAAGTTAAACCATATTTCTATTTGATATTTATAACACAGTAACAATGATCTATCGCACATTCGCACATAAACTAAAATGTAGGAATGGGTAATTGTTGTCTGGGTACCTACTTATAACCTGTAAACTACAGACATAAAATATTGTGAAATGAGTTGAATAATTTAGTAATAGTATTTACTATTTGGTTTATTTCAGGTCAGTATTGAAATTGCAATAAAATCACCCAATCACAGTTATTTATAGCGATAACCATGAAAAGTCTAAGATTGAAATATAGAAGCTGAAATCTAGACATCGACAATAATGAACTTATTAGATTACTAAATGTGTATTATGTTCTGCAAATTAATTCACTAGTATATAATAATTACTTACTACTTACTTCATATTAATTAATGTAATAATAGTATAAATATTTAGAATGTTCCCATGTTCTTTTTTTTTTGGAATCAGAATTAATCATTATTGTAACTATTGACGTTACTTACCCAACACCAATTATTTAAAGTTAAATCTGTAATATTTTTATTRCGATTATTTCAAAGGAAGCTGTACGCATAAAGCGTGAACTAGTTTATTTACAAATTTACAATGAATGTGTGGCGTTCTTTTAAGCAATCTTAGGTTGTAGGTATGTCAACTGCCAAGTACTTAATACACCAGGATTTTTATATAATATTTAAGAAATATTTCATATTTGTCTGAACATATATTTACTTGAAATGCAAAATGGTAAAAAAAAGCACTTATAGGGATCCATCTTAAAATGAAATCAAGCTTAATTAAATTTTATGATTTACAAATTATATAATATATACACTGAAAACTTAATTTAAAATAAACATGATTAATTTAAAAGTTATCACAGGTGTTATTTAATTTAAATGGGTTCTGGTGGATTAATATTATTTTTGTAATTTTCTAAGAGTTTTGTATAGTTTGTTTCAACTTCRCTTAATCGTTTTAGTTCTCTTTCTAATGAAATAATATCACCTAAAGGTTGTAATAAATCAATGCATTCCATTTCCAGTTGATTTATTCTATCTGAAATTGAAAAAAAATACCATATATTTCTTAGCTAGATATAATGTCCCTTATAGGAGACCAGTAAAGGTATAATAGTTATAACACACAGTTAAAATTTAAGTTGATCAATTCGAAATTAATTGACTCAAAAATATCCAAACCATTTTCAATAAAAGTCATACCAATAGATTACTTACAACTTGGAAGACATTTATAGTTAATCTATATTACCCTTATAAAAGGTAGTTCAATTGTTAAAGGGTATTTCACATATGACATTTTTTAAGCTGTTAACGAAGAAAGAACTTTTTTTTTGTATATTTAAATGTTAAATAATTCTATATATAAATTTGCTCATTTTTATTATATATTTAATTAAATAATATTACTTATCAGTAAAATAATTAAATTCACCAAAATAACTCTCAACCTCCAACTCGAGCTTTGTTTATAGGAGGATAAACTATATAAATTGTATAATGTTTGATTATAGATTGTATTGAATAATAATTTTAAAAAAAGGCCGATCAAAAAGTTTTCGATTAAAATCGGAAATTAATAATCGAGAAACTCTAGAGTTTCTTTTCTATTATCTTGACTTAGGTAAAATAAGTACCTAAATGCGTGTTAACAAACACATTGCGACGTGACGTGTATAACTTATAGGTAACTTATAAGTATAATGTATGTATATAAATTATAATATATATATATTTTAAAATACATTTTAAATATTAGTAAAAAGCATTTACGTAACCAGGTTAACTATTGTTCTAACTTATAATAGTGGTTTTTATGTGCCCACCGTTTACCACCTGTCATTTTCCACAACTATTTGCAGTAAATTCTCACCATTAACGGTACAACAGTTTTCGGCAAGTTGGTCCAGATTAGCGCTAATTGAATTGAGCATCATGTGCAACTCGTGGATTCCATCTCTGCTATCGCTTTCCTATATAACAAAATCGAATTCGAAATGTTAAGCGATTTATTAATAATTATGAGTTTATGACTATTATTTTGTTTGGAAATGAGAAAAATAAAACTGTTTCTGTAATTACGCGATAAAACACATCGTTGCCTTAATATGTTTCCATAAATAGAAACTTTTATAACGTTCACGCAGATCAATAATATACAATTCTTTTTCGTATCCAATTCCCGAACAAACGTCACGCCTAAACACATCAGAAATTCGAGCAAGTGATCGGAAAATTGTCTCTTTATCCTTTATAGGTCTTATGGGAGCTGGGAAGCGCTTACAAACAGATTATATTTTAAGTTTTACCTGGGCAACTACTACGGGGCAGCTTTCATCTTTTTGCATGCTATCCGCCGTCGCCATTCCGACGATTTATTAACGTTTTGAGTTCACTGATTTTTCCATTGACAAAATAATTTTTCTTCGAGCGTGGTGGACATACGTAACGAAAAATGAATTAAAATGGCKATGTTAGTGGTGAATACGACGCAGTGTCGAGATACCTCATACCGCGACGAGGCTGCGATTCGTTACCACGGTATTTATGAGTTACCGCGGTCGGATAAAAGACAAATTGCTCATCAGTGATGTCGTGGTCGTGAAAAATACGTTTTTATTCATGACGATCAAAGACGTCACTTTCCTAAAAACAACAGTGACCTGAAAACATAAAACAAAATTGAAAGATTTATTACGTGTAACTGAGTAGGAATATAAACGAATTATTTGCAACCATTGTATTACTGATAAAATTCRTCAAAAAAATTTAGTCTGGTGAGGGTACTACGTAACTGACGGTGAAAACGCACTTTGGGCAATA